AAGCCCAAAATGAAGCCAAAATTCTTCGCCGTGATAGGTGGTGGCTATATATATATATATATTGATAGCTGCAGTGTTGGAATCTTCCGATTTGATTTCCCTACCAGATACCTTTCAGCCCATGTATCGAAACTCTTTGGCTGCGAATTTACGTTCGAAGTATTCACTTTTAATAATGCTTCCCTTATAAGGATAAAAACTTCGTATAAATACCGAATATAGTCATAATCGTGCAGTTTGGACTCTTATTGTCATCTAAATGGATAAATGTTGATTTTCAAAAGGCAGGTCAGACTTGTATCCATAGCTCTTTGAAATGTTGCGGGGCTTTGCATAGGCTAAATAAAATTCCAGGTTGGGCATAAACCCCTGATTTCGTTTTCGCTGTTTTTGGCAAGATCTTCGATTTCATACGTATTCGGCGGAAAGACGTCATCGTGTACTTATAGATTCAGTTTTGATGCTAAGGTTTTAAATCTGTGGGTAGACTATTTTTTCTCCTGGCATAGTACTATAGGGATAGCATGGGAATTACATATAGGGATTACTTTTTTTCGGTATTTCATACAATGTGACTTTCTATGATTTCCTGTTTGACTTAACTGTAGCGATTGTATTTTGCTCTACATGGGGGTATTTCTTGTTTCGAGTGATTGATCACATGAATCCAACATGAGGTATCAAAATAAGTCCAAGAAATTTCTTTCCAACTTTGTTTTTTCTTCCGGCTTCAAATCCTTTACCTTCAAGTCCGACGGCTGCATTTTTTCCCTCTAAAGTGTTCATACCAAGCTGCAGCATATCTTTCTGAACGTTGTTTTTCGCGCCAAAAGATTTTTAAAATGTCCATCTCCAGTATCACATCTGCTTAAATTTCTTATTACACACACACGAAACGTCTTTTGGTACTCATTACTCATCTGCACATTTAAAGTCATTCTCTGGACTCAGTCGTAATGTCTTATTTTGGGCCACTATCATGTTCATTTCTGCCTCATTAAACAATCTGTAACCCCTAACACTTTTTCCCGAAATCTTTTCCGCCAAAGAATTACTTTGCGCCCTCGTGTCCAATAATGCATCTGAAGTTTTGCCGTTTAACAACATTTGAATCATCGGGAAGGAATATTTTTAATTAGCAGTGTTCACTCAGATGTGAAAGACATTTTGTCCTCTCTGGGGTTAATGCCCTCCGAGTTCCACAGAGCCTTTACATAGTTTAAATAGTTTTCTTATCTTCCACCGCTTTCCTCTTTTGAAATTTATTTTGGAGATTGTCAGTAGTGGATGAAACGTTCTGCCTACTTTGTAGCGCCTTGTTTCATCAAAACTAGGACCTCTTTCGGCTTCAATTCTGCAAAAACATCGCTTAAACTTTTTGTGATGCCTTTGTACAAACTCAGGGCCAGTCCCCGAAGCGCAATGATTTCTATAACGACCTTTTGCAACTCTCTAACAGGATATAACGAAAGGTGCGTTTCCAAATATTTCGAAATGGTCGACACCAAACTCCTACCATCGAACGTGGTGGACGGTTTCTTTGATGCTCGCGTAGTAGCATCTCTGATGAAATCGAAGCCTTCCATCGGAATTCTTGGTGCAGGAGGATTTGATTTTTTTCGGGGGGTGAGAGGAAGGCTAAAAGTTGGTTGATTTTGCGACGTAGCTAGTGAACAATTCAAGCAAGCACAAAAGATTACATTGAGATTCCAACGGTGTTAACTTTCAATTAACTTTTTGTTTTTCATATTCTTGCAAGCATTTTCAATGTTTAGAAAACCATATTTCTGAACTCCTTCTAAACTTCATTTCATTACCTCTATCATAATATGAGGGGAACCTGATGTGGGCTATTTTTATAAATCTGACAGCATCTTTGAAGAATTCGTTCAGAAATGCTGCATGTTTATTGTTCTATTAGAAATTGCATTATATATGCTATTTTTTGTAGTAACATTTAATCAGAATGATATGTCCTTGTATAATTTTCATAGAAACTTTAAATAGCATTTTTGCCGAAACATTTATAAGTGTTTTCTGACAAAAACTCCTTTAGTTTATTCATTTAACTAAAAATATTTTCATGTCTTTACTATACTGTACTCAATTCATTCATCCTTATTATGTTAATGCTTCGAACTCGCAATGAAAATTTATATTTACGCTTACATTCTTGAGTTATTCAAAGTTAAGTATATGTTTCTTAACAAGTAATTTCACGCATCAAAAATTATATTTTAGGTCAGGAATGTTATGTTTGACATTATTTATGAATTTCATTTCACCATAAATTCAACCATTTTTACAAACGATAGTAAAATTGCAGGTCGAATAGTAGACTATTATGGCGAAGAAGTGGACAACCGCTGGAGCAACGAAACGAACAAACATTTCGAAACTAAAACCGGGTGTTTCTTGGAGCAATACGCTAATTATACTACTCGTAATGGAAAGAAGGTAAGATAAATCAAGGCCATCTTTTTTTCTCTATTTCCTATATCTCGAGCAAAGGATAAGAAATATATTACAATAGATATATGTCTGTGCTCTTTCATTCTCTCTTTCTATTCCTGCTTGTATCATTGACTGTTTGAAAATCTATATTTGTATCAACCAGTCCTCTTATACTGATATACGATGAAATCTTTATAAACCGACATTACATGGGATTAATAAGGCGTTAATGCAGAAACTATTAGGTATTTCTAAAGCTTAAACTTTAAAGCCTCTTTCCCTGCCTAAGTTCTAACCATGGATCGTTCTGTTTTATCTTGATGCGTTACTCATTTAAATTAAAATAAAGTGCACAGAAAAATGCTATTTTTCCTTTCACTTCCCCTTCCGTACTTAAAAAGGCCCACCAGGGGCAGAGCGGTAAAGTCGCTGAACACTGGTAGTTCGGTCCGAGGTTCGAATTCCGCAAACGAGCTGGCTGCATGGGCGTTTTCGTGGTTTTCCCCATGTGTAACGTGTATACAAGTCCTCCACTAAGGCATCCCTCCCCTTGCGCAGATAGCCCTAGTGTGCTTTGCCATAATTAAATAAACCAAAACCAACCAACCCTACTTAAAGATTAGTTGTGTGTATTTAATTATGGCAAAGCACACTAGGGCTATCTGCCTAAGGGGAGGGATGCCTTCGTGGAGGACTTTCTAAGGGAAACTGGCTCGTATACACGTTACACATGGGGAAAACCACGAAAACACCCATGCAGCTAGCCCGTTCGCGGGATTCGAACCTCGGACCGAACTACCAGTAAAGATTAGTTGAGAAGATGAACGAGAAACAATATAAGATTTAAATAATGAAGATATACCGTTCACTACATTTTAGTTTGGGCACCACTTCAAGTACGTTTAAATTTCCTGAAGTAGGGAGCATGAAATATGGAGTGTATAACTAACCGGTATTGGAGCCATAGATCTTCTTTAAAAGTGCAGTTATTTTCAGTGCTTTACTTTTTGGCAAAAAACTTCTATGGATAAAAAAAATTGAACAATATTTTGTGTCATTCGAGAAGTATAGGAAGAGTTTTCATTTTAAAGCCAGATTTTAGTAAACCGTCCTATTAAAGATGGGTCCTATTAACCGTGCTATTAAAGTCCTATTAAAAGATGGGTATATTGACGATGTGACTTAAAGGGAAGGTGGTTTTCAGATGTAAAACCTCGCAGATAATAAAATAAAATATATTAGTTTTCTAATTGCTTTTTTTCCAATATTTTAGAAAACAGGATATGGAAAATCAGTCCGGCGAGATTTCAAAATAGACAAAAGTAATCAGTCTGAATCAGAATTCTGCATTACAACTTTTTTTTTAATCTTTCTTACGAACGTTCTCTTTAAATGCGTAGAAAGGTTCGAGAAGAATTTTTGTCGGAAATTAACATACAAGCGGTACCTTTAAATTTATTATTGTTAAATTTAAACGGTTCCAAGTCAGGCATGAAAGAGTTAAACATAAAATGAAAAATTCTTATTAGGAAAATTAACGGAAATCATTAAGCATCGGCTAAAAAATGGCTTTTTTTAAAAATCACTAAACATCTTTATAAATATTCAGCTATTTAATTATTGACGTATTGAATTTCCGCATGAAATTTTTTTAAACCAAAATTTTGCTTTACTTATTAACAAACAAAGAGCATTACCATCAAATCAACAACAGAATCTGCTAGATTGATGTTATGGTTCCAGGATTCCGTACTTTCTTGCATTTAAGTATTTGGTGCTCACATGTTAATTTTTAGAAACTGGTTATGTTTTTAATAACAACTGTCATTTTTCTTCTGCATATTAAGGAAACTGCTTTTTAAATATATATTTAAACAACGTCGTCTTTCACAGATGAATGTTAATAAAACGCATTCCCACGATAAAGCTGACAACCTTGGTTATGAACTAGCTTATCTGGTGAGTAACTTCCTTTAAATTTTTCTAAAGGGCTGTGCTTGCTTTTCATTTGCTGCACATTTTGTTTACTTCTTTTCTGATTGTGCATTTCTTATTTATTTATTATTTATAATACTTAATGTTTTATCGGAATTCTTACGAATGTGCTCGGCAGAAAATTCAGCAACATCTGTGGTTCTATTAATATATTTTAGCTGGTTTTTTTTTTTTTTTTTCCTTTTTTAGTGCAAAGAGGCAAGGGGAATTAATTTTGTTTTGAAATTTTGCGTTGGTTACCTATAAACGGTGTTTCACTTTTCAAATTGTTGCCACCCAATATTAGAACCCTGCATTACATTTAAAGAAATTAAATAATGAAGAATCTGCGTGAATGTATATATGTTTTTCGCATTACTTATAAACGTCAAATTTTGAATCACGTAGTCCTCCACTCGGCTATGGGCATCTGGAAGCCCAAATTTGGAATTCGGCATTTGTTTAATCATCTATTTGATATTTTGTAAAAATGTAACGAATTTTTTATTAACAGAATCAACGATTTCAAAGCGAGCAATGGCAAAACTGTACGGAAAAAAAATTATCTCCAGCCTGCGAGACTAAAGATATGCTCTTTTTAACTTCTTTTGCGCTATTTCTGATGAACTGAAATTTGTGATTCAAGTGTGAAGAACATAATATTTAATAAATAAAGGTAACGCAAAAATGTTAAAAAAAGCCCCTTTGGGCATAATATAAAATTTGAAAGCTTTCAGATTCTTTGTGTTTGTTTTTGAAGCATAGGGTTAGAATAAATCTGAAACCTTTTTCTTTACTTGGCCTACTTATTAAGAGATCTGTAGAAGGGCTACCATGCAAAATCTGAATCACCATTCCTGCTTTCGAACGCTTACGACCATAAAAATGAAACAGTATTTGTGAAGCTGGACAAGAACGAGGAAAATTAAGTATTTACCTCAACTACACAAAACACGACTGATTGGTTTATTGGAATAAGGTAAGTTACACGAGGGTTACCTACCTAGGTTTAGAAAATCCTTTTTTAAAAATATTTAAAAAAAACTCACAAAACCTCAGATGCAGCCAACGCCGCATTGGCGGAATTTCAATCCATATCAGTTCACTGGTTTGACCACTTGACCTTTGGCGAGCCGTTTCTAAACAGCAAGATTCCCAAATTACATGCAAGAACTAATAAATTAATTATAGAGGGTCAAGTCTGCGAAATGTGATGATAGGGGGTATATAAAATGGCAAAATACCCACAGAATGAATACCGTGATAGTTGCTATTGTATTACATGATGACTGTCTTCGAATTAAGTGATAGACAGAAAAAAGGTATATTTTAAAATCTGTGATTGCATAATATGTAATACGAGTTATTATTATGAACGCAACTTCCTTCCTGGACTGCAACGAAATAGAAATAGCACCTAAGGCTCGACGGCACAGCCAGTTGAAAGTTGACAACAGGCTAAGACATCTTTATTCTGATAAACGGTTAGATGACTTTGCCTCGCATCGTCACGTATCTAGCGAGAGAAATACCTTTGCAGGTGTCGGGATACCTGTTTCTGGCATTTCTAAACCCGACGGTTTGCGAACTATCACTGCTTACAGATCATGGTTGTTAATAGAACGACCAGTGACCGAGCGGTAAAGTTGCTGATTACTGGTAGTTCAGTTCTGGGTTTGAGTCTCGGTGAATGGAATGGCTGCATGGGCTTTTTCGTGATTTTCCTCATGTGTAACGTGTATACGAGCCAGTTTTCCCTAGAAAGCATCTCTTCCCTTAAGCAGAGAGCTCTCGTGTGCTTTTCCGTAATCAAACACACCTCATAGTTGTTGATAGCATAATAGTTATTAATAGTATTGGAAGCATTTCAGTGAGTTCTTGATTATGGATGAATATGAATTATTATAGAGCTGTTTTCACTTTTATAGAGGTAGTGTCTTAGGTGAAGGATTTACAGTAAGCTTTTACATGGATTTCATAATCCTTTTCAGGTATATTCGGAGGCTATAATCTTTGCTCGCTTTATGGAAGAAAACATTGTAACATATCCTTTATCCGAATTTAATCTTCTTTTCTTGAATTTTAAAATATAGTTTAAAAAATCGTACAGAATGTATAAATTTAAATGAAATAAACGGATAGCTTATACTTTTGCAATGTAATTGCAATAAAAGTAACTAAACAATGTAGCAAAATATCTTGCAGTTTGCATTTTAATCGTATTTAGAAACTTTGTTTGGATCAATCACATCCAAATTAATTTTTAGTTTCGATTTCAAGTAAATATTTATTTAACATTTTCTTGCTTCTTTTCCTACAGGCTTATCAATCTTGGGTTAAAGATAACGGAAGGGAGCCAATGCTGCCCGGATTGAAATACACACAAAATCAGTTATTCTGGATAAGTGCAGCTAGTGTAAGTCTGATTTCTTTATTAACCAAAATAATTCCATTTGAAACCAAAAGAACAGTACAAGCATGGGCTTCTTACCATGTTCAACTTAACAGCTGAAAAGTCAAAATATCATGCTTTTAGACGGACTGACTGCACACCTTCCATTTACTTTCGTTATCCTTTCCTACAAAGACTGCTCCCAGGAGATATATCTCTGACCATGTTAATGAAATTTGCAAGGTTTAAACAGGTTGGTATCTTCCCCAAGTCGGGCAGCTGTTCTGTCGGTGGAAAAATGTAGCCTGTTATCCTTTTGGTAATAGTTGTCATTGTAAATTGATGATCAGCGATAGTTCCCATAGTAAATTGACGATCAAATATAGTTGTTATTGTAAACTGACAATCAACGATAGTTGCTATTATAAATTGACAATCAGCGATAGTTGCCATTGGAAATTGAAGATCAGCAATAGTTCCCATTGCAAATTGAGGATGAGGGATAGTTGCCATTGCAAATTGATGATCAGTGACAGTTGCCAGGGTAAATTGATGATCAGCGATAGTTTCCATTGTAAAACTGACGATCAGCGGTAGTTTCCATTATAAAACTGACGATCAAAGATAGTTGGCAAGGCTCTTTCGAACTCAAGAAATCTGCGCGACAATATATTAAGTAATATTTAGCACCTAGAAGGAGCCGATCAAAAGAGAAGTTTAAGCACTGTGAATGTAATAAGTTAACTGGTTAATATAAATTCTTAAACGTTTAAATAGAAAATACATTAAACAGAGTAATAAATATCTTTGTGTATTACGTGACTGAAACTGTGTTACGATATGTCATTAGCTTTATCAGATTAAAATTTTCAATCAGCGTTTTTTTTTTTTTTTTAGGTCCGTCATTAAATTCTTTATATGCAAAGGTAACGTTATTATGTACAGCCAACAAAATTACATTTAAATGGACTAACGTAACATAGGATCACCCTAAATTAGAATTTTTTAAGGCATTTTTCACCGAGATTTTTAATATGTAAGAAAGCTTTAAGCTGAGTAACGTGTGAAACCCCGGCTGTTTTCTCAGAATGATACTATTCTGTTATCGAGACCGGATTCAGAATAATATCTCCAGAAGCTGGTGATCTAGCAAAAACTTCGAAGATAAAAATAATCAACAAACTATTTAAATTATGACAAATAAAATATGATACGGACAAGTTAAAGAAAACTCCAAGGAAATTTGCATTCTCGTTGCCAATTCTGGAAAGGCATTCTTTTACTTTTCTTTAAAACGTTAACATTGTAACGACTTTGGAAGTAAACATTGGCGATTTCATATGAACTAAACTCCTGGCAAGTTTAGTAAAACATTTGGCGACGACTCCCGTCCCGATAACAGAACAGTCCCAAGATTTTGTTATGGAAATTTTTAGTAAAAGTTTATTCGCTAGTAAGTAAATGACCAAAATTACCTCATAATAAATGCTGTGTGTGGTAGCGATCCTTATTCAGTACTTACCTGAAAACCAGCTGAGATATGCAATCAGCAGAAACAGCTCTGCTGCAAGAAGCATTGCCCTCCCTTGAAGCGTAGCTTCTTTTGATACTGTCAGGAGGTTGTAGTAGGCGCGTGTATGAATGTAGCCCAATAATAAAAATGTACAATATTTTTTATCTGATGATCTCTTTGACCGTTCATACTGAAAGCTGATGCACTTCTTTCACTGCCAAAGCTGAGAGTATGGGGGGACATCATGTGGTGATTTACCATCTTGCATAAATATTACACATTTAATATTCGCTTTTCTCTCAGAATAGTTACTTCTCAGCCAGAATCAGCAAAGTTGGTGCTGAACTTCGACACTGATAGCTGAAAACCTAATGTACGCTTTAAGAATTAGCAATGAATAACATTGTTATAGTTACAATTAAAAAGTATGTAGCAAAATTCTTGCAATCACCACCATAATTACGCGTTCCTCTATTGGTTGTTTTAAATATTTCTCATCGATAGAGGCTAAAATCTGTTTCCCTGAAACATCTGAAACGCCCGTATATGCGAATTTCCTTTGAAATGGATATTTTCCGCCCTGCCAAGGAAAATGCTACAGTGTTAACAATAACCTACTTAAGTAAAGTGATTACTTCTCTCTCCGGGACCTTTGTGTGGTTTCACCCACTATGTGCAGTCTCTTTTCTAACAGGCCTGCAAATGCTAGCCTCAGTAGCTATGTGTTGAAGCTAAACAAAAGAGGGAGAAGGTGCATTCAAATAACGAAGCTTCTTTAGTCGCACGGTTGGCATGTCATTTAACTACTACCGAAACCAATGAGCCATGCGCTAACGTGATGAGGGAAAGCAGTAGGTAGAAATTGGGCGCAGGCGTTCGGGTGACTTGCCGATGATTGCAAGGGGGACACGGGCAATTTCGCTGTTAAGTGATTAATATACGTCGCAAATTCATAGCAATACGAATTTTTTTAACTTCATTAATTTTAGATCACCATCTACAAAATATCACCTCTGTTTTGTATTTTCTAAACTGTTTTGTATTTTAAAGTTTCAAAAATCAACGTTATTTAAAGATACTTCTTAAGAGCTTTCTATTCACGGGTAATAGAATACGAATAAAATGAAAATGCATTCACCCACAGGTTTCATGTGTAATCTAAAAATCATGCAATCTCCTGCGCACACTAAATATAGTCAACCTCCGATGATCCGGGCGCCGATTAGCTTGGTAAGAATTATTCCTGCCTCTCTAAAAAGTTGAGATTGTTTATTGCAGAATGATGGGAAATTCTTTTCACAAAGTATCAGCATAAAAAAAAAATGACCTCATCGGAAAATACAAAATAAGAAAGAATATTGTGTCGGCTAACAGTAATGACAGCAGATGATGTCAATGAGATTGAGAGATTATTTATACTTACCAAATGATATAAATAATCCAGAATATATTGAATATTCTAGTAGATTTTGCTAACAATGAAATGTTCCGTCTGAAAATTAAATAACTTACTATACATCAATATTCTGTTTCAAAATGATTCTAATCGAAATACAATAGAATAGTGATGGAAATAGAAACAAACACCATTTACAACGGGAAATATGTATAAGAGGGCAAGAGTATGCGGTTGAGAGAAACGTTAAATACTGATGTAGTTGCGGCTATTAAATTAAATTAATCACCCACGTTTAACTGCTTGAGAATACAGGGATTTGTTAGTAGTATTTCTACTAATTATAGCAGATGATGCTTCTTTTCTGCAATTTTTAACTGTTCTAGTATTAATCGTGATTTTATGTTCATCATGTATGTCATTTCTTGTAATACTCCGGTTAATCAAGAGTAACCTGTTCTGAAATGCAGTTTAAAATTTAAAAATAACTCAATAGTTTATTTAAAGCAAGCAGCATATAAAAGAGCTAAATCGACATGGAAATTTAAGACATTGATTTCATAGACGAAGAAATAAATTGTAAAAATATTGAACTCTGATCAAACAGGCACTGTTTCTGAAATATGCAGAATTGTCGGCTAATCTTTGGAATATGGTAACAGGTAGTTTGGCGACATTTTGGTAAGGCGATAAAGGTTACAACTAGGACTTTAGCAGTGTACACGGATAAAGTCAAGAGTGTGCGCAATGCCATTTTTGTGCAATTCTGGGATGTTTTTTAAGTGAAAAAAATAGGTCGACGGTGTACATGGATACCGTGTATGTGCAAACGCGGCAAGCAGTTTGCGATTCTGCACTTTCTTCCGATTTCGCACCTAATCTTCGTCATGATTAAGCACTTTTGTTCCATAAAAGTTCTAGTATAAGTGCAATTCGGCTAGCAGATTGTTGTAAAAAATATTGAGTAAAAAAAAAACATGCCTTTACTTCGTAAAAACAAAATGGCGTCCAAGACAAAACTAGCAGGTTGCTGTAGCAGGGTTGGTCGCGCAAGTTTCGCCAAAAAGTCCCCAAGTTACCATAATCCAAAGATTAACCGATTTGTCTTACAGTGTACTAAGTTTTTTAGTTTAGTATATTTTATGACCAAACATTCTTTATATTTACCTTTTCATATTAGTGCTATTTGTATCATCAGAAGAAATTTGCATATTTTAACAGGACTCAATAACTGCATTAAATTCTTCTAGGTGTTCTGCGCAAAAATGTCACTAGATTCTGAGATAAATTATGTAAATGAAAGTGTGGACAGTCTACCACAGTTCAGGCAAGTGAAATTTGAAATTTTAACTTTTCAATATTATCTATTTCCTTGGGGAGCTATTTCACCTGTAAATTGTTACATTTCTAAGATGCATATGTTTAAATTTCAGCGCTTATTTAGAATTGATAGTATCTGATTCTAAATATAAAAACAAATTGTGAAGCATTACTAAAACATTTGTTATGTTCTGCAATAGCACATTAAAAACAGTATTTTTTTTTTTCTGTTTCAGAGTGATAGGATCAATGTCCAACATTCCAGAGTTTTCAAAAGACTTCAACTGCCCTCCAAATTCAGCTATGAATCCAAGAGAAAAGTGCCGAGTTTTTTGATATAACTGACCAAATTCGTATTTCAGAAATAGGTACTGTTCTGCTATCGGGGGACAGGAGTCCTCGCCACATTTTCTGCTAATTTCACCAAGAGATTGATTCACATGAATTCGCCAATATTTACATATTAAAAAAGTAAAAGAATGCGGCTCAAGATTGGCAACGAGAATAAAATTTCTAAAGATTTCTGCTTTTATTATTCTTGTATTTACCATGGATTTAAAAATTTGGTACATACCTAATGATGAAACATGTCCCATATAGTTTCTTCAGAAACAAGGAATATAATAAGTTTAATTTCGTCGATCCCGATACTAATTAGTTTACTGTTGCTATTCATGCACCAGAACTCGGGTATTACATATAAAATGGTTTAAATAATAGAAAAATCTATAAGCATTTTTATGGTTATTATTTTATGTATTAGTTTTTGATTAAATAAACCGCTGAAACTTTTTCTTGATTTTTAATAATTTATAATTTAAATCTAACAATGATTAGTGTTACCTTCGCAAACAGTACAAAAACAAATTTACAAAGCATTTGCTTTAGACTGAGTCGACGTAAGACGCAAATATTTCAGATTCTAAAAGCCGACATACCAATAAATACTGGCACACATTTTGCTCGGATTCTAAAGTCTTTAAGTAACATCAGTTAACAACATTAAGGATGTCTTCAACTAAGTATTTTACAAGAATATAAATACAATCAAATACTTCGTGATGCGTTTCTCAGATATGAAATAAAAGCATATGGACCAAACAAGAGATTCAAATAAGCCTGTATAAATTAAAGTTTATCTACGTAACTATTTATATCAAATTCTTCAGAAAAACAGTCCGACTTATAATACAGAAAGTTTTTACAAATTTTTGTAACGATTTTGATTGTGTCCATGAATTTGAATATTAATTTTATAATACAAACGTGACTGGCATCCATCTGGAAAATGTTTTAATTATTGTGCGCAACATTAAAAATATTCTTTTCTTTAAATGTCGCTGAAAAATGAACAATGGATCGAAGGTTGTACTTTTGCGCTGTCTGAAGAGAAATACTCTATTCAATTATTAAAAAAGATGTAAAAACATAGTTTTAGTATTTCTACGCGTACAATAAGTGGCATAATTAATATTGAAGCAAAGAAACATCAAAGATTACATCTGACAGGTACAAAGGCAAAAAAAATGCACGCCCAACAAGTACGTACCGCTCTTATTAAATCTCTAGTCACATCTCATGTTTTAAAGGAAAAACCAGCCCCCAAAGAGCTATTGCAAAGTCTTTTAAATATTCCTGTAGGAACTGTGAACAAAATTATAAAATATGTTTTAAGCCAATCAAAACAAAAAAAAAAACATGATGTTAATCATCTAACGATGAAATGTTTCTCGACGTAGAAATATGTGCATATTGCTGTATGAAAATTATTTTGCAGATAGAAATATATATAAATGGAAATATATAGTTTCAATAAATGAGACTTGGATATACTTGCCTGATTGCAAGAGAAAACAAATCTGATGTCTACACCACATGACTTCCTTGTACGGAATATTAAATTATACGCATTTTTTCTTGCATTTCATTTAAACTTATTAGATTGAATTAAACCTACTTCGCTGACAGCGCATAATAAACCACAACATAGAATAAATGCATTCTTTAAAATTCACTTTGTTTACCATACGACACTCTGGCACTAGGTTTACTTAACAGTATTATATTTCGTTCATATTATAACCGAATGCACAAAATGTATGTCATTTAAAGAATTGTCTAATCGTTGCCACATGTTTTATTCAAATACTATAACAAAGCCAGAACGATGTATAAAAAAATTAAGCAAACAAAACAAAGAAAACAGTTTTTCACAGACGATTGAGTATTTCTCATTCAATTAATTCAGTTTTCACTTTCGCGACAAGCAAAAATACATAAAAAACTTAAAATATCTGTATTAAAAATTACGAAGTAAATCTTAAAACGCTTATTTCCTCGAAAAAATTCCAGAAAGGATTAAGCAGGTTTAAATAATAAATGAAGGCGTTATCTTTGTTGTTGCAAAGCTAAGTTTCTCTAAATTGGCAACAAATCCGCTACTCAGATGTTTTAAAGGTAAACAAGAGTAATGGCCGCCATCAAATTAGGCTTAGCGGCACTTAACAATTTTAAAATTGTTGTTAATTCTAAAACTATTGCATATATATTTACTAAAGGCATAAAAACCTTAACCTGAAGATAAGAACAACATTATTCAATCATTTTTAAAGCAAAAACAATTTACAAACATATAAGAGTAAAGAAACTGAGATCACTAAGCCGGGTAGCAGAGTGGATATATATATAAATATATTTATATACGTTTAGTGCGGCCGATTGCAACCAAAGTACGAGGTGCACATCTACATGTTATAGCACTCCTATGTACAAAACTCCAACGTTCTGATGGTATACGAGCCAGTTTCCCTTAGAAAGTCCTCCACGAAGGCATCCCTCCCCTTAGGCAGATAGCCCTAGTGTGCTTTGCCATAATTAAATACACCACACCATCAACGTTCTGAGGCTACTCGTTTTTGAGTTATGCGAGATACGTATGTACGGACGTACGTACATACGTTCGTACAGACGCCACAAAAAATTCTCTTCAGAATTTATTTTAAAGCAGTTTTATATTTTTTTTTTGGAGGAAAAGAGTGTGTTATTCTGTCCTTACATACAGATATCACGGAAATACATCGTTAAATTGCATTTGAAAGAGTTCAAAATGGGATATTTCGTTGAAATATGCTGCTTGAAACTTTTCGCGATTACAATACTTCCTTCTTACTTCGTACAAGGAAGTAAAAAAAGATTTACTATTGAAAAAGTCTTAATATGTTGGTTCAGAGAAAACAAAAAGAAATTCTAAAAATTTCATGGTTATTACTAGATTCTCTTATAATGAAAAGCTTAAAATACGAAAAGTAGAAAAAATTATTTCTGATAGAAATGGGGATTTCTATCAGAAATAAATTTTAACGCTTATTTTTAAAGAAAAAATTCAATCTCTTTATCCGCGCACCAGCGGCCGAGCGGTAAATTTGCTGAACATTTGTAGTTCCTACCTGGATTCGACTCCAGGCGAACGGGCAGGATGCATGTGCTTTTTAATGGTTTTCCCCGTGTGTAACGTGTATCCTTAGAAAGTGTCGAGGGAGCCAGTATTCTTCGAAAGTTCTCCACGAAGGCATCCCTTATCTTAGGCAGATGGCCCTCGTGTGCATTTCCATATCTCAATAAACAAAACCAATCCCTTTATGCAAACAATCTTCACTGTTTTAAGTTCCTGTTTTCAGGATAAGGCTCCAAGCCATACCTCTAAATCTGCTGCTCTATTTTTTGAAAAAATGAGAAAAGAAACAGGAATTGAAGCTATTTCCTTTAACTGCATCCCGCCCATGTCCCCTGATACGTCTCTTATGGATTAGTGTCTATCTGGATATTTAAAACATGCTGTTTATAAGCACCATTCCAAAACATTGGATGAACTCTGTAAGATTGTGAAGGAGAAGTGGAATAAAATCAACCTCGATGTTTAAAAAAAAAGAAAGGACTTTTATCTTGGAAATCAAGATATAATATGACAGTTCAACAAAAAGGCTATCAGACTGAACATATTAGAAAATAAAATTCTAAGGTTCCTTTATATATAAATCTTTGAAAAATCGTTAGAAGAATAATATGAACACTCTCTGTATAGTGGTACACCATGCACAAAAAACAAATAAAACAAAAAAAGGGGGGAACAGTTCTATACTTCTCGTTCTACTCGGCCGATTGATGAAATTTAACTTCCGTTTTTCATGTCTCGAAAGCGCAACTTAGGATTATATTAGATTAATGCATTGCAATTGTTCTAACGTATGTACCAAACAAGTATTCTGACACAAAATTGGATATTTTCTGATATGACGTACAGATTATTTTCAATATTTCGATTCCACAGCTCAAATTATGCCTAAATATTGAATTTTATAAAGTTTTGGTGAGCAACTTAATGAGAAATTCTAAAATTTATCTTGGCGAACTTTTTTGTAATTCTTGGCGAAATTCATACATTATAGTAACCCTATTTTCCTTTCCCTTTCATTGTGCGCGATCCGGAAATAAAAGGCTATATCAATGGCTAGTTCATAAGCCCCATAAATGTTAGGGGCAAAGTATGAAACACAAGCATTCTTTTTATAGAATGCCTGGCGTTTTTAGGAAAAGTTGGAAATATGGGAATTATACTTTATCTAAGCACTGAGCTCGGCATACTGTAGGATGATATATTCTCTTTAGGTAAAATATGAGAAAAAGGTCATGATAAGGCTATTATTAGCCCGAAGCGAATTAGTCCAGAAAGCCTATTAATTTCGTTCTGACATTTTGCGTTGGTTAACTATAAAAATCTTAAGCACTTTTCAAATTGTTACCACCAAATATTACAGCCTGCCTTTAAATTATATTTAAAGAAATTAAATAATAAAGAATCTGCATGAATGCACATATGTTTCTGACACTGTAAGAAAACAACGGTACCTAGAGACATCCAATTTTCAATAACATATAGTCCTCTACTCGATTATGGGCATTTGGAAGCCTAAATTTGAACTTTTGTTATTTATTTCATATTTTGTAAACCTTTGACGAATTTTTGATTCACAAACTCAACGGATTTCAAAGCGAGCAATGGCAACATTGTACGAAAAGAAAACTTTTTCATCTTCTGCGCGCAAAACTGTGTATTGTAAATTCTAAACATGGCGTGTATCTTCAAGAGCACGGATATTTTATGCTAGTGGTTTCTTTACATTTCTTGTTGATATTATGTTGGTAGCGTAGCAACACAAAGACGTTACAATGTCTAACGGTATTTTGCGTCGAATGACTTTGAATGTCAGTATCACGTTTTAAGTTCAGTTTTGAATCCCTCCTGAAAAAAAAACTCCCCTTTTAGATTACCTAAAAGCTTTCAGATAAAAAATAAATAAATAAATAAATAAATAATAAATAAAATTTTAAAGCTTTCAGTTTTTATTTATTTTTTTTTTTTTAAAGACATGCATTCCTTAAATATAAATGTTATTTTGAAAAAATAATGAAGGAGTGAAGTTAAATCGTAGGAAACAAAATTTAAGTCTTTCTTAATAAAGAAAAGGAAATGTATAAAAAATAAGAAATTAAGCTATTTTTTCACGTAGTTAATGACATTGTGAATTTATTTCATTACTTTTCTCATACAGGGACATTTCATATTTCGGCGCTTTGTTTTATAAATACATTTGACGAATTCATGATCACTACCATTGGACTGAGCAACTGCAACTCACCAGACAAAAATTTTGTGGTCAGGAATATCTTCAGTTCTAAGCAAGTTGTTATAGAATGCCTAGTCAATGTGTGAAATGTTTAATCGCTTCATACATCGCTGGCCAGTTTTAGGCATTCTATAAAATGCCTAGGTATTCTGTTTCTCCTCCGTGGAACGTTGTATACACGTGAGTGCCTGTGCGACGAGATCTTACTCCTAATCGAACA